CCCGGCCGTCATCCCTGTCCCCCGGCTCGTAAGATCCTCCTGCGGGGCTACTGAGCCCATCGCCTGGCGCGGGGCCCGGGCGGGCGGCAGGGAACACAGCCGCTGGAGGGGGAGGCGCGGGGCTGCGCTCTCTGCTCGGGGACACCGGCTCTGACTTGATGCTGATGTGGGGGTGGGTGGTGACGGTGAGGGAAGCACCCACATGAGGCAAGGGGCTGCCCGGGCTGCAGGCAGGCAACGGGGATGGAAAGGAAGGGTTGGAGGACAGCCGGGGCCCGGGCGGGCGGCAGGGAACACAGCCGCTGGAGGGGGAGGCGCGGGGCTGCGCTCTCTGCTCGGGGACACCGGCTCTGACTTGATGCTGATGTGGGGGTGGGTGGTGACGGTGAGGGAAGCACCCACATGAGGCAAGGGGCTGCCCGGGCTGCAGGCAGGCAACGGGGATGGAAAGGAAGGGTTGGAGGACAGCAGAAGTGAGGAGAGGCCAGCGGGGGAGAGAGGAGAAAGGAGTGGCGTCAGTTCCGGCCACCTGCCCACCGTCCCCACCCCACACCCTGGGCTGGACGCCCGTGGGTCTCCTGGGCACAGCAGGGGACGCAGGGCTGCCACCCGGTGCCAACAGCCTCCCGTGCCCTCTTCCCACTGCACCAGCCAAGTGCCCGTGGGAGCCTCCCGAGGACTCACATGAGGTTGCTGAGAGACACGGGGACCAGGTGGGGCTGCTGCTGAGGTGGCTGTGGAGGCTGCGGTTGCGGCTGTGGCTGCGGCGGCTGTGGCTGCGGCTGGGGCTGTGGAGGCTGTGGCTGCTGCGGCTGCTGGGGCTGCTGGGGCTGCTGCCAGGCACTGACGCTGCCCAGGGACAGCCCCCCTGGAGAGCTGAAGGCCGGTAAGGAGGACAGCTCGGCACTGGTCAGCTGGTAATCTGCAGCGGGAGAAGCGAGGAGGACCCTGAAGGGGGCGCCACTAGAGGGCCACGGAGGGCAGGGCACAGGTGCCATTTTGTGATGTGAGGAATTCAAGAAACTCCTAAAAATTCAGTGAAGATGGTGCTCAGAAAAATGGAAGTCATAGCAGGAGGTGCTGTTTGTTTTTTTAAATCAGGATGAGGACAGGTGGGTTTGTTTTGTTTTTAGGTACCAGGGATTGAACTCGGGACCTTGCGCTTGCGAGGCAGGTGGCAGAACCACTGAACTAAATCCCCAGCCCAAGGACGGGTGGTTTTTAAAACAGTGTCAAACTTTTTTGGGGTACTGGGGATTGAACTCAGGACCTTGTGCTTATGAGATGGCAGCACCACTGAGCTAAATCCCTGGCCCAGAACTTTTAATAATTATCGCTGGGCATGATGGCACACGCCTGTAGTCCCAGCACTGAGGAGGCTGAGGCAAGAGGATTCCCAAGAATTTGAGGTCAGGATGGGGTACATAGTGAGTTCAAGGCCAGCCTGAACTACATACCAAGGCCTTGTCTGAACAAAACAACCCCCCAACAATATGACAACTATAAAAAAGAAAATGGGACAAAAAGGACATTAGGAAAGGTCTAATTATGTCCGTCACCCCTCTACCTGACAAGTCTTTCTGAGGCAATGAGAGCCATGGGGGGCCAACGGGCACAGGGGTCCAGAAAGCAACTCCATAACTACCATTCCCCAAATGTCTACTGACTATCTATAACCTAAGTGAGGGGCACAAGGCGCTGTTCCCACAGATGAGAGGACAGTGTTTCCTGGGTCCAGTCCAAGGCTCCAAGAGCTGAGGTCCTGGTGATGCCTCCTCTCTCAACTGTACTCCCAGGGAGGACACCGCCACAGCAGGTGCACAGCACACACAGCTCCGTGGTGCTGCAGGCCGCATCTGGCTTGGGGCAGTGCAGCAAATGTCTTCAGTGTGGCAGCAGAGGGCATGCTGGGAAGGGGAACAGCCGGGCATCCCCACCTACAACACGCTGCTACTAGTCCAGGGCCGTGGGCTCCAGTTAAAGGGCTGTGGCAAGGCCAGAGTCACGTGGCTGGGGGCAAGCTGTTTGCTTTCTGCCCTAGGGAAGCAGGGGCCAGTCCTACCCACAGGACAGCTGCCGGCAGGACACGGGGCTCTGCACCGAGCGCGCTGGCTCAGTCCTCTTCATAATACTTTACTGACAAGGAAACTGCAGCCACAGGGGTGAGGGCACCCATGTCACGCAGTGAACCAGTGGCAGGACTCTGAGGCACCCAGGACTCTCAGTGACCTCTCGGCCTCAGTCTAGAGGTGGCCATGCTTGCAGCTCGTTTCCTGAAGTTGGCGGTTAGGTCTGAGATGCTTATATTTAAGAAGCAGAGCAAGGTCAGCAACGGGCCCAGGACTGAGTTACTTCTAACACTTGTGTGCAAGCACAGAAACCAGGCCCAGAATAGACTGTGCCGATGGGCAGCTCAACTCTGTCCAGGCAGAGTCTACCAGGAGGACACCTGGCTCCCGGAGGCCAGGAGTGTGGTCCTAGGCCTTGGGCTGCCCCCCAGGCTGCCACAGAGCCACCGCCGCTGCCAACCTAGGTAGCTGGTGTCCTCAGGGGCCAGGCCCAGCTCTCAACCAAGACAGCACTGCAGCCGTACCACCCAGCCAGAACCTGAACTGATGCCAGGACTGTAAAGAGCGACACCTCACCGGGCCTGTTTATACACCCAGGGGCACCTGAAACACCCGCTTAGCTCCTCGCCCCTCCTGAACAGGGGTGAGAAGAGTCCTGAAGGCTGGCCACTGAGGAAGCACCTGTGTCAGGCCCAACAGCAACTGGCCTCACAGGCTACAGGACCAAAGGCCACGGACACCTACATGATGGACGCCCCTGTCGCTAGAGCTTCTAACACGTGGTCTGGGTTTCCCTCCTCCAACCATTCTGCCTGGCCTGGGGCTGGGAGCTCAGTCTGCCACGCTTAGGCAGGGATGAGAGTGGGAGTAATATGCAGTGTGCAGCTTTCGCACCACAGCCCGGCCCTCACTGTGAATCGGGGCCTCCTGCTCCTTCTCCTGTCACCAGAGCCTGGCACCGCACAGGGCTGGGAGGGACGGGAGAGGCGGCCTTGTGGTCTATACTGGCGCCTGGCGCCTCGTCTGCTTCAGCTCTGCCACGGGGCCATGATGGCAGCAGCTGGGAGTCCCCTGGTCTAGCCCGCTTTCGTCACAGGCACAGCCTGAATGCTAGCCGCTAACTCGCGGGAGAGCTGGGCAGGTGGAAGCCCCTCGGCGCTACGAACCCAGCGTCACCGGCAGGTAGGGGCTGTGACACCAGGCGATAGGCGCCTCCCACATGGGAAGTCCTTCCTGACAGCAGCCTGGCTGGGTGTGACAGGTTGTTCCAGCACATGCAGGGCGAGTGGGTGACAGCCAGGACAGCCGCGGGGACTCAGGACAGCCTGGCCACTGGGTGTCCTGTCTGGATTCCACCCAGAGGCCTCTTCCAAATCCTCAAGTGCCTCTTCTCCTTCAGTTCCACCTCAACTTTTTGCCTCTGCTTCTCCCCTCAGGGCTCCCCCAATGAGTCCCCCTTGTCCCTCCTGTCCTTGCCCAAAAGCCCGCAAGTCCACCTGACCACACTGCTGCTCGGGCCTCCCCAGCCTGTCCCTCCTTCCCTTGGGCCTCTTTCCCTCTGCGAAGCCTTTTGGCACCGTGTCTGCCCGCATTCTCCACACCTGGCATCTGGGGCTTGGCAGCCCGAAACACTGCTGTGCCCACTTCTGTCCCTTCCCTCACTCAGCTCTATGTTAAAGGTACAAGTGTCTTGGTAAGTCGAACTTTCAGATGGACAATGCAGTGTTTTTAGCAGAAGTGTCTCTGGTACCTGCTTTAGCAGAAAAACATCTTTGGAATACAACTAAAGAAGTACATTTTTGCCAGGTGTGGTGACACAAACCTATAATCCCAGTACTTGGGAAGCTGAGGCAGGAGGATCACTGTGAGTTCGAGGCCAGCCTGGGCTACACAGTGAGTTCCAAGTCAGTCTCAACTACATAGTGAGACTCTGTCTCAAAAAAACTAAACAAACAAACAAACAAACAAAAAGAAGAAGAAGTACATTTTTTTTCTTCAACACCAAGGGTCAAACTTAGGACCTTATACTTGCAAGGCAGGCACGATGCCACCAAGCCACATGCCAGGCCCAAAAGTACATCTTATCTAGCAACTGTAATTAGACGGGGGTCTCCCCCAAATCCATGGCCTTCCTCAAACTCGGCACCCCACTCACGGGCCCCAGCCCGAGGGCACTCACCTGTGTTGTAGGCAGTGGGCATGGAGGAGAAGGGGAGGCCCTGGCTGAGTAAACTCGGTGTTGCCACGGAAACCACAGGGGTGGTGAGCGAGTGGGTAGACTGGGAGACCCCAAGGCGCTGGGCGTTGTTCTGCAGGAGGAAAGTGTCTTGTCAGGAGATGGTGGACGGGAGCTGCTGTGGGCAGGCCTCCCCACCCAGGCCTGGCTGCAGGCCCCGAACCCCAAGGTCGGGGGAAGCATCAGCACGGAGGCCCTATGGACACACAAACATGGCCGTGCACTTGGAGACGCTGAGGTCACGGAAACGTGCTCGCTTGCACAGGTTCCTCAGCACCTAAACATGCACAGAGGAGGGCACCACGCTGGCTGGGCTCCTGGGTAGGGCAGAAGAGCCACAGCTCCTCCTCTGCCAGGGCCCAGAGTTCACCCTGCCCATGGCACTGCAGCACACGCCTCTGGAGCACGCCGTGTCTGGGAGGGACCGGGGCCCGGCGTGTGCCTGCGTGTATGCACACACATGTGGGGCTGTCTGCTCCGTCTGCTGCTGAGTCACTTGTTTATTCCAACTCCACACTGGGGCCGACACTGCCACCATGTTGGCCGCCAAAGCTGGTCTGCCTTTTCCAGCCTCCCTGGCCTCCCATCAGGCAGCTTGAGGGTGGAACCCCTGTCCCATCCCAGCTGGCCAGGGTGGGTATGTGCGCGCGTGTGTGTGTGCAGTGTGTGCAAGAGAGATGGGGTGGGAGGGGGCTCCAGCCTCACAGAGCCGTGGCTGTCGGGCTGGCAGCCCCGCGGAGGAGGCGCCTGTCCTGGCTGCTGAGGGTGTCAGTGGGCTGCTGGATTCAAAGGCCTAAGCTGGGCACTGGGGCTGGAGCTTCTCAGGCGTGGGATGCTTCACTCCTCTGCGCGTGCACACGTGCACTCACACACACACACACGCCTGAATGAGTGTACCACGTGCACACAGGACCTGGCATGCATGTTCAGCCCTCACCCTCCCGTCTCCCCAGCAGGAGCACAGTCCATACACACACGGACACACAGGCAGAAGGACAGGAGGACACACATGCCGTGCTGGGGGACTGCAGAGCAGTGGCTGAGCCAGGAGTCACAGGCGCAGCAAACGTCTCACAGCCTCACTTACCAGATCTAAATGGTCCTCAGTCTGGGAGCAGAAATAAAACCAAGGGGGTGGCTCAGTCTCTGGCCTCTATCCACCCAAGGCATCGCCAGCCTCTGCCCAGAGCAAGTGCTCCCCTGGCCAGCTGACTTCCAGAGGACACAGCCCGTCACCCCCAGCCCCACAGTGCAGCACCCTCCCTCCCACCTCTGCCTCTCTGCGGCCCCAGGCCAGGCAGGACCTCTGTGTCCCAGCCCCTCTGAGGTCCTCGCTGTCCCGGCAGGCTAAGCTGCAGCTCCAGCCAAGGCCTGCTCCTTCCGCTCTTCCCCTCTGCTGCTGAACCAAGGCCTGGACACTCGCTCACTCACCAAGTGGTGCATTAATCCCTTTCCTCCCTGGGAGGTGATGACCCTCAGGTCGGGCTTGCGGCTGGGGGCTCCGAGCTGGGCACTGTGGGTGGGCGGAGGCGGAGACTTGGCAGGGATGACCTTGTTCAGGCTGTTGCCGTTGGCCACAGGGAGGAGGCCAGGGGAAGCCCGGGCGCTAACGTAGCCATTCCCTGGAGAAGAAGGGAGATGAAGGGGAGGAGAAGTATGGGCCAGCCCTCAGCCCTGCTGATGTCCCCATGCCAGTATCTACGCCACCCAGGACAACGCAAGCCACGGTGCCCCTGTAGGCACTGAGCTATCTGACACCCCCTAAAGCCTTCCTTCCCATTTCAGGCACGAGAGGGAACCCCTATCCCACACCACTGGCTTTGCTTCTGGCCTCCAAGAGAGGAGTGGTGACATCAGGGGCACAGACCGCACAGGGACCCCACGGTGGGCCACAGACCCGGGACCAGGCCTCTCCCACCCACTCTCCTCTCTGCCTCCGGAACCCACAGCCTGCCACAGGCAGGACGCTGCAGGGCCAGGGTGGGGAAGGGGCAGAAGCCAACCCCAGTCACTCAGAGCGCTGCCTTGCTGAGCTGGGGACCCTGGGCTTTGGGTTGCCTGCAGGAGATGGGCCACTCGCTGGTGCTGGTGGCAGGGCTGGCATGGGGAACAGGCGCCACAGCCCCACCGTGACTGAGCTGGTGACAGCAGGAGTAACAGCTCTCTTCCACATCTGCTTCACACTACCCAGCGTCCACAGCCCTCTCACAAACACTTCGTCTGTGTAATCCTCACACCCTCCTGCGAGATGGACAGGACACATCATTAGCCCCGTTCACAGAAGAGGGACTCCTGCCTGGCCAGGTGAGGTACGATGACTTATCCAGGGCCACAAAGGTGGCTGAGACTGCATGCACGTCCTCCCTGGATACTGGAGCCCTGGTCCCCTCCCTCACTCTCCCTCTGCATCACTATTTCCCTGAGGTCTGAAAGTATTTCTTGGTCCTCTTCTTGGACAGAAAGTGGCATTCACACACTGCACCTATTTCCTGACCCTAGTATGTAACTATGGCCAGCAGGTCTTGTGGGGTGCTGAACTCAGGAAGTGTTTTTTTGTTTGTTTTTACGGGTCCTTGCACTTGCAAAGCAGGCACCGGAACCACTGAGCTAAATCCCCGGCCCTGCCGAGCTCAAGCCTGGGTTCTGCGCTCAGGGGTGGGGTGAGGGAAGGACTGAATCAGAATTGCCACCTTGCTGTGCTCCCGAAGAGCACGCTGTGGGCCTGAAAGACTGCAGCTGACTCCATCCCAAGCTCCTGGTCACCTCGGAACGGCAGTGGTGACGTTAGAAGTCAGGGGCCTGTGGGACCGTGGCACAGGGCAGGAGAGTCTGTCTGCTGCGGGGCCGGGCAGCAGCAGACTTCCTCCCGCAGCCACGTGCACGAGCTCACAAGTACACGTCGAGGATCTGGCTGCTCCGTGTGCACATGCGAGTGTGCACCTGCTGTGCCTCTAAGCTGGTGGCGGCAAGCGTGTGGCTCGTGTGCGCAGCAGGCTTTTGTTATCACGGAGGCTCTGAGAGGCCACCACTGCTCCAAGCGCCCTCATTCTCCAGGCCCCAACCAGGCAGCCCTAAACCGGAAACATCCAGACCTACGGCTCCAACAAGTGGCGCTGTCCCTTCTCACAGCCTGCCCGGCCCTCGCCAAGACCTGTGCGATCCACACCAACTGCTGCCACACACGCCAGACACCGGGGCCGAGTGATCCTGACGCCCGTCTGGCTGGGCGCTGGATCATCCTCTCCTCTACTCTAGGTCCACCAGGCAGCAGGGCCGTGCACTCACCGACCGGGCTGGGGCAGGCTCCGTTAGCGCTGGTGAGGTCGCCCCCCAGCATGGCCCCTGGAGAAGAGCAGAGCTGTCAGGAGCTGATGACACCCCACCCTCCCAAGTGAGTCCTGGGGGCAGAACAGGAAGTGGGACCAAGACCCAGGCCCTTCCCTCAGCAGCCCGGGAAGTGTGGGCCTCCTGTGGCGGGGCAGTGGCTACGCAGGACAGAATCCCGGCACGCCAGGGGCCCACTCACCCGCACTAGCCGGCCGCTGGGGCAGGCCTGGAGACACGCTGTTCCTCTGTAGTGCTGGCTGCTGGGGGGACAGGAGCCGCGGGTCTGTGAGGGATGATGTCACCAGGGAGGGGGTGACCAGGGAGCCGCTGGGATTGCTGAACTGCAGTGAGCTCTGATTGGACACGGGCACCGTGACAGGCATGGCGAAGTTGGGGGCCGGGACAGCTGACTAGACAGAAAGACAGAGTAGAGTCAGGCCAGGCCAGGTCAGCCTGCCCACCCGCCCTGCCCCGAGGGCAGGCAGGGCTCCTGGGGTTGGGGCTTGACACCCTCACCAAGGAACAACAGGGGGGCACTTTGGGGTCCCACTCTGGCCCAGACGGTAAGAATGGGGCTCTGCTCACTGCAGCAGAGCCAGGGACAGCCCTAGCCAGGTTAGTCCTCAGCCAGGCAGGACACACCGGAGCGGGTTAGCGGCAGAGTGTGGACCCGAGTTCACACACACAGCTGTCAAGGCCCGTGCCAGGGTCGGGACCGCTCTGCCTGTGCTGACCCGTACCCCTGGCCCGCTGGAGGGTGAGCTGGGTCCCCCTAGAGGCAGGTGGGCTCCCCAGGGTGACTGTGCTAGAGCACTCTCCACCTTCCTCTCTGCGGCCGTCAGTCTAAAGTCACTACACGCTTCGCTTCCTGCTGGCCAGGGGGCACCGCACCCCACCCCGCCAGCGCCTGCTCCACTGAGAAGCGTCTCTTGGCAAGGGTTGCACAGTCCTCCACGGTCACTCCCAGCCCCAGCATGGCTCAGAGAGGGCACATCAGAGGCAGCGCAGGGCCAGGGCGGGGCGCAAAGCCACACCATGCAGCACGAGGCGCCCTCCACAGGACTACTCACGGCCAGTCTATAACTCTGCATCATTTTATCAAACTCCTCGTCTATCTTTTTATATTTCTCCTCCGTCTGGGGGGTCAGGGCAAACACCTCGTCCACCTCAGGACTCTCACACTCCCTGTGCTTCTTGTGCAGCGCCTGGGGGAGGGCGGGCCGACAGAGAGACAGTGGTGGGCTCACCCCGTAGCGCCGGAAGAGCCCGTCCAGCTCCTCGCTGGCGCGCCGGTACTTGTCCTCCAGCAGGGGGCTCTGTTCCAGCGAGTCCTCCCCGTCCGGCTCGGGGCTGTCACAGCCGTTGAAGCCCTTCTTCCTCAGGGTCTGCAACCGCACCACTGCTGTCAGCCGGTGAGGGTCTCCCCGCCCCTTCCAGGCCCCCACTCGGTGCAGGGGCGTGAAGCCCAGGGTCCACGGGGAGAGCGGAGAGGACAGAGCGAGGCTCGGCGACACGGGGAGCACTCTGCAGAGGGGCCTGCGGGACACCGGGTTGGGGGCTCTGCCCAACCCAACACAGACCCCGAGGGACAAGGACAGAGATGGGTCACAGAGGAGAGAGGACAGGTAGGAAAGCAAAGACAGCTGCTGCGACCCAGAGCGGCGCTCTGTGCTCCAGGCCCCCAGCGATATTTGCTGTTTAATTGCCTCCAAATCTCCAATCCGGCCATGGCTTCCCAGGCACCCTCTTTGTCCACATGTTCTGTCCCCACACCGCACCTCAGGGTGAGATACAGGAGCTGGACCACCCCATGCCTCCCTGGTGCGCCCTTCAAAGTAGGCACTGACCCCGTTTTGTGGAAGGGGACACCATGGCTCCGGGAGGCCAAACACCTGCCCAGCACCACACGGCCAGGAATGACCAGAGCCGAGCTCCAAAGCATGTGTCCTTCAACAGTTCATAATGTCGGCTTGCTTTGAAACAAGAAATACAGTCAGGGACCCAGGGAGAGACAGAGAGTGAGCAGGGAAGATGGAAACAAGGAGGGAGACAAAAACCAGAGGGGTGTGAGACGGGAGCAGACCAAAAGATGGAGAAAAGAGAGAGGGAGCAGATGGCGGGCGTCCCAGCAGACAGGGAGCAGGCCGGCGTGGCGTGGGCCGCCCACCTCGATGATGTCGGCATTGGTGCGGCTCTCGTGCGGCTCGTTGTACTCGGTGTACTTGAGCAGCACCTTGTCCATGTCGGTGCTGGCGTACTGGAACAGCTTGTTGGAGTGGTTGAAGATGATCAGGGCGATCTCACAGTCGCACAGCACGCTGAGCTCGTACGCCTTCTTCATCAGCCCGAACTTCCGCTTGGTGAAGGTCACCTGCGGGAGGCAGTGGATGCCAGGTTTGGCTGGGCAGGGCTTGCCCAGGAGTCCCGGGAGCCGCGCACTTGGGGGACAGAGCCAGAGCCAGCCCCTGGAAGGGAGGCGTGGAGGCCAGCACTGCACACTGCGGGGGCAGGCGAGAGCAGGCAGGGAAGAGGACCAAGAGCCCCAAGGGCGAGCAGAGGGAAGGACCCATTCCAGGCTGGAGCTGCAGCAGGGCCTTCAGTCCGGGGACACAGGGTCAGAGAGAGATGCAGGGAAGGCGGCTGCTCCTTCTCCCAGCTCAGACCCTCCTCCTGCAGGAGCCCTCAGGGAGCCCTGTCCTCACCACTCTGCGGCCCTAGGACTCTTACCTGCCGGTTCCGCTCGTCAGTGATTCGCTGGATCTGAATCTTTTTCCTCCCCATCTTGTCCAGAGGTCCTCAGTGCCGGGGAGGGAGGCTAGGGTGGCGGGTCTTGGTGTACCTCACACTGTGCTCATGAACGTCCGGGACCCAGGCTCAGTTCATGGTCCGCAGGACGCCTCTGTGCAGCCTCCTGGAACAGAAGGGTCACGAGGAGCTGTCAGGGCCCTGGCACCCAGCTTTGCAATCCCTGGGGACACAAGCCAGACTCTGCACCCTGGGAGGGAGTGTCGCGTCAGCCCCACCTCCACACAAGGCTGTGTCGGCTACCTGGGCAAGGCCATGCCGAGCACTGAGGCACTAAGCCAGACTGAGGACATGGAGTTCCTGGCTCCAGGTGATACTCTGGCCTAGGCCAGTGGTTCCCACACTCTGGTCTGGTGTGGCTAGCATACTGGGTAAACATCCGCTCAGGATGCCAGGTGCCAGGACTCGGGTCTCCGGTGCCCTAGCTCAGGAGCACACTAGGCAAAGTCCCTAGCAGTGGTCCACACCAGCTCACAGAGCCCAGGACCTGGAGCTACAAGACCCCCATCCCGCTGGTGTGAAGACCTGCAATCCTGCACTTGGGAGGCTGAAGCAGGTGGATTGCTGTCTGAGTCTGAGGCCAACCTGGCCTATGTAGTGACCTGAACCACATAGTAAGACTGTCTCAAAAAAACAACAAAAAAAAAAGATCCCCATCTCCCTTCCACCAGTGCACCTCCACCACAACTTGTTTACTCAGCAGCTTTTAGCCTAAAATTTATTTGAAGGGCTCTGCGGCTTAAACAAGCAAACAAACAAACAAGCCGCTCCTCTAGACCAGGGGTAGGCTACATTTTTCTTTCTGTAGTGCTGGGATGGACCCTAGGCCTCATGCACGCTCAGCACCTGCTCCTCCCAGGCCACCTCCCGGCCCTGGCAAGTTTCTTCTGTAAAGGACCAAAGTATTTTAGGCTGTGTGGGCTACACTGTGCTGCAACTACTCAACTCCGCTACTAGAGCACGCAAGTAACGCACAGCAGCCCAGACTCGAGCACTACGCTACCAGTACAAAAAGGGCCTGCTTCTCCACAGCCTCACCCCGCCGGAGGCCTAGGCCGGGTCTGCAGCCCAGGTTGAGCAGCGCTACTTGAGAGGCCACTCGCATGCTGGCAAGGCCCTGCACAGGGAACAGGCACACCCTGACCCAGCATGGCCACTGGGCCAGCACGCAGAGGCACACAGCCCTGTCCCGCACAAAGCCAGGGGACAAGTCAGGGCAGGGGTGCACTCCCAGGTACGGGCAGGGTCACACAGGCTGAGTGGGCGCTGGGGACCAGAGAGGTGCAGGGTGGGATAAAGACAGCCTGAGGCAACTTTGGCCCTGTCATCCCAGGAGTCCTGGCATCAGGGACAGAGCTTTCTGGGAAATGAAGAGGAGGACATGACCCCTTGCCCCGCCAGTCTTTCTGTGGTCCTAGGGAATGAACCCAGGGCCTTGTTCAGGCTGAGCAAACATCCTACCACCAGGCTACATTCTCAGCCCTTTTTATAATTTAAGTTTGAGACAATGTCCCACTAAGTTGCCCAGGCCAGCCTCAAAACTGCAATCCTCCTGCCTCAGCCTCCTGAGTAGCTGAGTTTACAGGTGTGCAACACAGCGCCTAGGACTTGCTTTCTAAAGTCACTCTAGATGGGCCTGCAAGGAGTGTGGAACAGAACGGTCCAGCTCCAACCTGAGCCCCCTCCACAAAGCTGCTGCCCAAAGACCTGCAGCAGAGCACAGTGGCCTGGGCCGTCCGCCTGCTCTTCTGGCTGGGGAGCTCCGCCGGGTGGAGAAGATGGAGAACGTCCCACACTGCCTGACTCCAGAGCCTCCTGGAGCCTTTGCACCCCATCCACATGGTCCCCAAGTGCTACAGGAGTGCTGAAGTTGGCCCCACACCCTGGCCACCAGGGAAAGACGGGAGCGTGGAACTGGCAACTGGATGACCCTGCCCACTTACCCAGCACAAACCCGACCCCAGGCCTCCCAGCAGAGGAGCTGGAGCCGGAGCTCTGCACAGGGGGCTGCAGAGGTCAAAGACCCCCTCCCATCTGTTCTGCTCTGACAGACCCAGCACCCTCACGGCTTGGCCTCCTCTGGCCCAGCACACCTCCTGGGGTGGCAGCAGCAGCCCCCAGTGGCTTGGCCACATTTGGCCCAGAACCAGTGCCAGCCACCCCATTCCCTGCCTGTGACCCCATGTTTGCCAAACTGCTTTGTAAAGACGCCAGGCAGAGGATTTCAGTCCCTGATGCAGACTGTGCTTTCTGGGCTGTGGTGCGGTGAGCTGGCAGGCAGTCCAGGGCAGGGCACCTGGAGCAGCTGGCTCCTCGTACTGTATCCTCTGGAAGGGCTGCACTCCTCGATCTGAGGGGCTCTGTTCAGAAGACCTGCCCAGTAAACCTCAATCCAAGACGGCCAGGACCATCACCTCTGCCACGCTGGGAAGGGACCCACCCCTTGTTCTCGTGACACATCAAAAGCCACTCTGGGACCTTTCCAGCCTTTACCACAATGTAAATAATTACACTTCTGTGCTTCTGTTTAACGCCTAGCTCCCTACCAGACCGAAGCTTCGGGCCGGGGATTTAGCTGTGGTTCTGCTGTGCCACCTGCCTTGAAAGAGACTGAAGCTTCATGAGGGCACAGACTCCATCTTTTCTACTAGTCCATCCTCTGACAGAGCTCAAGAGCTGTCTGTAGAAAGAACAGACTGCTCAGACCCTGTAAGATGCCCGTGAGAAGTCCCTCTTGCAGTCTGACCGCCGTCAGTCCTGCTTTGGTGTCAGCTTCTCTGTCCTCTGTGCAGCCACAGCCCTTCCTCTCCCACTGCCCTCAAAGCTTGTCTGTCTGGACACCACCCACCTTCCCACCACCTGCCATCCCAGTCCTCAACCCTCCCCACCTTCGGCTTGGTTGGTGCAGAGGGTGAGACTCAAAAGTCTTCTAAGGAGCGGCCCTAAGCACATGGAGACGGAGAGGATGGAGTTGCTTAGGCAACTGTCGCCTGGCAACCAGCTCCCTGGCTGATCTCCTACACCGCCCCCCACCCCCGCCTCATGCTGGGGAAGCTGGGATGCGCTGGGGATCAGGGCTGAGAAGGCAGGGAAGCCACAGAGACCCATTGAGCATCCTCTGGTAGAGGGAAGTTCGGGCTGGAAGACCAGACCCCATCTATCCCCACTTCCTCCAAGGGAGCCCAAAGTGCTTTTTACAAGTCCATGCTTCCCAAGGCCCTTTTCACTGCTGCCCTCCCGCGTCCCATCTACTCACTGCCACCTACAAAGCAGGCTCAGGACGCACTCCCTCTGCCCTTTGCTATCCACTCCACAGGGCTACAGGTTCTTTGCAGCCCTGGGCAAGAACAGGAGCTCAACCATGACTTTGGAGGAAGGGCAGCTGAGGACCCTAAACTGACCCCAGCCGAGGTGCGGGGGCCCATCCCGTCCCAGCTTCCCTCCTACTGCATCAGGGAGAGTTTAATGGCACCTGAACCTCCTTAATTAGCCCTCTGTCTAATTATCTAACCAGCTGCCAGGAGCCAGAGGCCTGGGCATCTGTTCCCCAGATGTGCGTCCAGCCCAGCTCAGACCAGCCCCGTTGCTCGCCTCCTGCCACCTCTCCAGGACTGGCCCTTGGCTGCTTCTCCTCTAACCCTTCCTCTTCACTCTGGTATCTAAACCCAGGGCTTGGGAGGACTCAGAGTGTAAAAGAGACAGATGCCTTCTGCTCAGAGGGCTGCAGGGCCTGCTTCATCCCAACCTCAGGCCACAACTGTGACTCGGTCAGCTGCACCTTCCCCATGTCACACGAGTACCCTCCCCAGGTCCCGGGCAGGGCAGGGCTGGGCTGGGCAGGACAGACCTCCTGGGCCTGGCAGGGTAGCAGGTCTTTCTGACAGAGGTGCAGGAGGAGCGAGGGGAGAGGGCAGCGGGGAGCTGCAAGGAAGCTCCAAGGGAGCTGCAAGGAAGTCTTGCAAACAGACCAGAAAGGGCAGGCAGGAGCAGGACAAGGTGCACTAGCTGGAGATACCGGGGAGCGCAGGGGATCCAGAAGGACCCCATGAGCAGCTGTTTTTCAAACTGGGCTACAGACCCAATAGGAACTGTGGGTTGTTTATATGCAAATCAAGCACAAAAGAAATGCAAAAGGAACCCAAAAAGGGACTGGTTTGAAGGGGGCATGAGAGAGGGAACGGGCCTGGCCTCCCCAGTGTGATACCTCTTGGTACCTGAGCAATATTCAAACCACTCTAGGGTTTCAGAATGATGCTATCTCAGTTCCTGTGTGAGGGTGGCCTGGGCTGTGGGGGGCGGTCAGGGCAGCCCCCTGGAGCAACAGCTGCAGCAGGCTGAGGGGGGCTGTCCTTCCTGGGGCCTGCAAGAGGACTCCTTTCCAGCAGCCAGCCCCATCCACAGCTCAACTTCCCCCTCACCGCTGCCCAGCCCCGCAGGTCCTGTCACTGGGGCTGGGACACGCTGAGGACCTGCAGGGCACCTGCTTCCAGAGCTCTCCCGCCAGTGCGGGTCACACGGAGCAGATGCCCAGAGAGGCTACGGGCACCCTGCATCACAGCAAAGGGCTCCACTGCTCTTCCCCGTAAAGAGCGAGCTCTCATTAGGCGGCCTCCATCCTTCCCTCCCAGGCTGCTCTGGACCGCAGGCTGTGGACTGCGGGGAAGACAGGAGGCACTGGAGACAGCTGTCATCCCTCCTCCCGCCCCTTCCCTGTGGCTGGGCTGCAGGGCATGAAATAAGCAGCAGGCGCTGGGGGAGGGGGTGACAATCCAATCCACCTGTCACCCCCACAGTCAGGCGGCCTCAAGCAGCCTGCTCACTAACGAGGGAGGGAGGCGGCGTGGGTGAGGCAGACACGGGAGGGGGGACACAGACGCACACACAGGAAAGGAGACAGAGAGGCAGTGAGGTCAGGAGGCAGCGTGGGGCAGGAAGGGAGAGGGCAGCCGGAGAGAGGAGGGCAGGCCGAGCCCAGACAAAGACCCAGAGAGATGTGGGTACAGGCGAGCTCAGCAATCACCCACGGGCCTGGCTTGGGACTGGCCCTGGGTGCTGGGCACCGTCGCTGCCCTCTGAGAACTTGCAGTCCAGCCAGGAGGCCGATGA